TCAGCCCCTCCCGGATCTATAGCCTGGTCCTAGAGTTAAACGAATGTTCTCTGATCTAAGCATCCTATTTCTGGGTTTTCTCTCTCTAGCTTCAAAAGACTCTTGAGTAACGAGGCTCAACATGCCCAAATGAGTGTGGCTGAGGTAGTCATGTGGGACGCTGTCAGTTCAAATACAACCTCAGACAAAGAGGCCACCATGTTCAAAGGCTCGGATTGGGTCTTTCCTTCACTTGACACAAGCAACCATCCATGGAACTGATCAGTTGGAGAACGCTGCCCATTGTGGTCGTTGCAGTTTACGTCGTTCGCCGCTACTTCACCATTTACCACACCGTTTGTTTTGAACACTTACGCCCAACGATTGATGGACTCATCTCACTGCTTAGTTAACGAGCATCCCTACTATCGGACCAAGCGGATTCTTTACGACTTACTGGGGCATTTTCCATTATCTCACGAATGCGAGGACTTTTCTCGAGGAAGGGTATCGGAAGGTGAGTCCACCTGCTCACAGGATCCTACATCTCTGATCTCTCACCTTCATCACTCTCTCTTTCTTCGTAGTACCCCGACACAGTCTTCAAGATCTATACCTCTACAGGATGGCGGCTTTACGCTGGTGGTCATGCCAGGCTCGCAGACGCGAAGAAAGCAGCCGACGACGAACTTTCCTTTATCGACGGTGCCAATGATAGTCTTCAAGCTGAATTTACCATGGGACCAGAGATTGCGTGGGACCCTTACCATGCCAATGCCATACGAGGACCTCTCACTAGGTTAGTTTTGAGATGAATGGGCCCTCTCTGATGTCAAATTTAATTGCACGCCAGAAATATCACCACGATTTACCCTGAGATGCGCGAAGAGACGATCGCTTCAGCTACAGATCATATTCCTCTCACCGAAGGTCAGTTATCAGCTACCTCTCGTGTTTGATTCCGTTAATAGGATTATTAAGATTGGATTGAAGTTCCGGCTATGGAGGTCCTCATGAGGATGGTCAGTCGGATTTCAAATAGGATGATCGTCGGGTTGCCTTTTTGTCATTATCACGTTCTTTACTCGAGGAATTCTAATGACTGATGTTATTTTTGAGCAGGTCATAACCAAGAGTTCCTTGACATCAACGTGAAATACACCCTGCGAGTCATAACAAGCGCTACCTTACTCCGTTTTTTCCCTGAGATCCTTCGCCCGTCAGTTATGAATGCCTACGGCAGCATGATTGTCTGATGTATGGATCTAGATTTGCCGCCAAAATTGTGTGTTCAACGCATGGCTCATATCGGCGTCTCAGGAAGATTATCGAGCCTATGTTACAGGAACGTTTGGACCACGACGAACAATTTGGAAAGTCTTATGCTGGCCGGCCAAAAGATTTAGTCTCTTGGCTCTTGGAGGTTGCTCAAGGCTCTCAGCGAAGTATCAGGGACCTCTGCATTCGCATATTGACTGTGAACTTCGCTGCTCTCCATACGACCACAATGGTATATTTTCCTGTCGAACTTGGGAGAACTGATGGTCTAACCTTCATTTCAAAGACCGTGACTCATGTTCTTTTTGACCTTGCGACCAATCCTCAATACATCGACCCTTTACGTGAAGAAATCGAGACAATCACCAACGAACATGGCTGGTCTAAGACGTCCCTCCAGAAGATGAGGAAATTGGATAGTTTAATGAAAGAATCGACTAGAATGTGGGGAATATCGCCTGGTATGCATTATTTCTTGTCTTTAGTCCGATTTTTTCTATCCTAACAAATGTGAATAGTCAGCTCTGGTCGGCAGGTTATGAAGGAGTTTACCTTTAGCAACGGTCAGGTGGTCCCTCCTGGATACATTCTCAACTGTCAGTCATAGTAGTCGCGACCTTTAATTTCTCTTATTCCCGTTGTTTGCAGTTACCGCAAGCTCTATTCAACGAGATGAGGTTTGTCAACATTCATATTAGCCTGTCCATTTATTCCTAATGCTGTATTTAATCCAGGCGAACTTTGAGAACCCTCACGAATTCAGACCATTCCGATTCTCGGATATGCGAGATGAAGAAGGTCAGGGCGTCTTTCACTCCTTCGTCACCTTAGACCCCGACTTCATTCTTTTCGGTATCCCTAATCGCCATGCCTGCGTAAGTTGCTCGTTTCCCCGCCTGTTGAATGGTTGCTCATTCTCAAAATGCAGCCAGGTAGGTTCTTTGCTGCTGTTGAGATCAAAGGCATACTCGCACACTTGATCACGACATACGATTTCAAGTTCGGAGATGGGCAGAGGCCGAAGAATATCGAGATTGCAGAGGGTATCTCGCCTAATCCCACAGCCAAACTCTTGTTTAGGAAGAGGAGACTTTGAAGATGTCTGCAACTTGAATATTAGGTGACACTGGACATTCATTTGGGGATCGTCATGGATTTTGAGGTTTACTTTCTGATGTATGAGTGTGCATGAATTGACGTTAATTCACTCTTTCTATGGCTTCTGTACGTTCGTACAATAAGTGACGCGGTTGAGAGCGGAACCAGACATCCTCGCTACACGAATCCATAGCTGAATTGCTGCCTGGAGGACTCACTACTTAGTTTTGGGAGCGGTGTGTGCTGTGGGGGTATTTGTTGCGTTTCTAACGCCTGTCGGCGCATAGCATAAAGTCTGCGACTTATCCCATTTCAGTTAATTAACTCCTGTTGCTTTTGAACTAATTTTGTAAGTCTTGGCTTGTAGGATATCGAAGCTGCCTTTCACCACATGGCCTTTGAGCCACTCAGGGGGTGTTTCAGGGACTCCTTTGTGATACAATTTAAGACAGCATTTGCACAGGGTTCAAAACCAACCGAATGCCTTAGGTCTTGACCTTCATGTCCTCCAAAGTTGTTTGAACCATTGCCTCCTGCTTCCGCAAGGTCTTTTAAGGCTAGTGAGGTTCTACCGCGCGGTTTTGGATTGAGAAAGGTTAAAGTTCAGCAGCTGTAAGGTCCTAGCACCTGAAGAAATCAGCTTCTTCCACCTAAAACTTTTCTTGAAACCCGGAGACAGGAAATGACTCAGTGAATAAAATGGAAAGTTCTTGCTCGATTTTATAGTCGGCGGCCGTGATCTCCGCATCCTATTGAGGGGGGGCATCGGCGTCGCCCCCACTTATAACGTACAAGATTGAATTTGCGTACAAGACTCTCCCTTGTCCAATGGGTGTTTTCAATGCGACCATCGGCATGTATATCTTGTTCTGCCTTGGCCGCCTTCTATCTAACTAACATTAGGAGCAATACTACTTGGCTTCTCTCTCAAGTGAGCTTACAAATTTGGCCAAATAGAGAATCCATGACCAGGAGTGCAGCATTTATCTTTCCGGGATTGTATCCTACCAGTATATGACCTACAAGAATACGGAATTCAATGATCCCATTTGGCTTCGGTAAGTTTGCACTGCTGCAGATAGTCTTTCTACCTAAGCTGATGCGAGAACAGAGCTCTTGTGGCCATCTTATTCGTGATAGATACTTCTGTGTCAATTGTTGAGTTCTATGCCGTTTGGTACTTTGCGTGAGCGGAACGTCAAGAAATGTGTTAATGCTTGCTCACCTTTCAACCCAGAGTCGAAAACTATTCGAACCCAAGTGTATTTGGCAGTAAGCGCGTGAGTTTCGTCTTTTTTGTGCGCTGAAGGGAAATAATGGCAGACACTATTTGGATAACACCCTTTGCCTGTGTCATGACCGCCATTGCTTCTTTAATAGTTCAGGCTTTCTGGATAAATCGGTTCGTTTATGACATGATCCTCATACATACTTGTTCTTATCTCTTCTATCTAAGGCTTTATCAACTTACAAGGACAGCGCTGGCTTTCTGGGTTTCTCATCCTTGCTGCTACTGCTTCGTCCCTTTGCGGCGTGGTTAATGGCATCATGATTGGTTTGCTTGTTGAGTAGGTGTGCTGATTTTGAGATCCCTTCCGAAGGTCTTATTCATTTCAGTATCAGAAAGATTGCTGGTCTGATTCCTCTGTCAACCGCAGTGGCTTGCTACTGAGGCTGCGGTCGATATTGTCATCACTTGTAAGCGATAGTTATTAACTAATGTAACTGTTCCTATTACTAACACTCCTTAGCGGCCCTCAGCAGAGCACTATGGCGAAGTAAGACGCGATCCGCAAGGACGAATGCTTTGATCAATCGACTCATCAGAGCGTCGAATTCAGTCATGGCCTTTTCTCCTCAGTCTTTGCGATGGCTTCCCTTTTAATTTTCATCTTCTCATCAAAAACCTATCTTTACGCTATATTCGCCTGGCCCTTGATAAAGACTTACTCAAATGTAAGTTGGATTCAAATGGCTGATATTTTCGCTTTACTGACTATCTCGCACAAGTCTCTCCTTTATACGCTGGTCTCTCGTAAAGAGCTCGCTGTGATTGCCTTTGGAACGGGTCCAGCTCTAGACATCGGAGTAAGTCAACGAATTTTACTATTCGTGCAGTATCGATATTGATGGCGTAGGCAAACTCGTTCCCAATGTCCACTCAAATTTCTTCCATTCGCATTAAACGGGAAACTGTAACTGATGCTGTAACTGATGCTAAGGTAACGGATAGAGACATGAATACTTCTTTGGATCGGTATATTGTCTTTTCTCAATCACCGAGTACGACATGATTACTCTGAAGCTTTCTGGTGTAATCCTGGTAAATTATCCCGTAATGATTCAGTTTCTTTTCCAATGGGACATATAATGGAAGTTTGGTTCTCACCAGGATTCATTGGCCACTCAAACTGTCAACACACCAAATACAACAAAGACTTTTGGTGCCTCTGGCATAAAGCATTCAGAGTCACGGCCAAACCCTTTTAACCGTTTCAAGGTATTTGACATAGCGAACGTACTATGCCCAGAATGCATTAAATCTGCTTTTAGATGACCAGGTTTTGAAAAGCCTTGGTAGTTGAATGAATGACTGAGATTGAACCTGCTTCTTTTTAGGTCACGTTATCGCATCTGTTCATTACGCGTGAATGTTGTAGTGGAAACATCTTGGGTTACCATGCTGAGAAGGCCCCGGGTTCGATTCCCGGTTCACGCAATTAGTTTTGAAAGGCCAACCCTTGTTAATTGTCGCTTGACTCGACGTGTTTCGCCTGCCAAATCCGGTCCCCCAGGATACCACAGCCTCAGGCTGTTGGCTTCAGAAACGCCATTTTGCGTGAATGATGTAGTGGCAGCACCCGAAGTTCCACGCTGCGGGGCCTGAGTTCGATTCTCGGTTCACGCAACGCTTTGCACTTTGATTTTTCACGAACTGATGTGCTTTTAGGCTCAACTACCTCTGAAACGGCTGTATCACTATTTAGCCTCTGAAATACTCAGTATTGTGCCTGAATGGTTTAATAAGAACGGCTTGAGCTTTCGTAGTGAAGTCTCATGGTTCTGTTCAACAAAGCTGGCTAGCTGGGGGGTGTGTCTCTCGACCTATCGATACGCGCAGTATTGTACGATTGACGAAATCAAGATCTGCCTGGACAAGGCCATAGAGGTCACGCAAAAAAAACCGCTAGTGAAGTCCTACCGAAAAGAAACATCTTATAGCCACAAAAGAAGCAAGCAATAACTAGGCTGGACTATACCCAGGAGGGAGATCCGAGACAACATTATCTCTTCGACGCAGCTCCTCGCGTAGCTCTTGAATCTCCTCCTGCATTAGGTTGACCCTATGTTCGTACACCGTAGGATTAACGCCGTTTCTTGTCGCTGAAGGAGTTTGGACCACTTGTGCCCCTGGTGGTGGCACTTGGGGTGGAACTAAAAGCGAGGCCGTTACAGAGGATGTCGGAGCACTAGGAATCGAGGCAGGGGAAAGCATAGGTGCAGATGCAACAGTAAATGACCCTTGCCTTTCTCTAAAGCTGTCCACTGCAGTGGCTTCCGCTTCCGCTGCTCTCTCCTTCTTTGTTGTCTTCCTTCGATGCCAAAGTGCGAAGCAAAGGACAACGAAAATAAAAATGCCAACTACAATGCCTCCAATAGCTCCTTCTGGTATGGACGGAGAATCGAAGGACTGAAGAAGATTGAAAGCTCGAGCTCGAACTAGGTTGTCGTAGCGGCTGTCGTAGCCAAACCAAAAGGGGAATATGTGGGAGTCGAAGTCGAAAAAAAGGTTTCATAAACAGTATATGTTGTTAACGCTTGCATTGTTGCTGCAGCCATTACAGGCACGGTTCGAGTCGCAAAAGTCATGTATGTGGCATATCCTAGAATATCAAAAGGGTTGCGCGGTTCCTCTGAAACTGCTATAACACACGTGTGCAGATGGTGGTGTTGTGGTAGTTGCAGGAGCTTCGGTACCAAAGAGAAGAGTTGTGGGAGATGGATCCATGACATTCAACCCAAGTTGATGGGTTATCGAAGTTAAAACTTGTGGGCGTGGGTGATGGAGGGTACGTGTAGATCTGATCTCCATAAAATGTGTGAAAGTACAAAGTTTGAACTGTGAATATCTTTCAGCGCTAAATGGCATTTTACCAATAAATTAGTCACCTGGTACGGGTCCCCCATAGTTGAACTTCCCATCCGCGCCAGTCTCTCCAATGACATACCCTGCAAAATCCTTGTCATTCCCGAAATCGGTAAAAACCTGGTAAAACGGTTGTCCGCTCAATTTGGCTGGATTCCAACGCGTTTCCGTCGCAAAGATGGTTCTGAGGTCCGATGTTTCCGTCACGACTGTCGTGGAGGTAGAAACCGGGATAGGGTAGGCCATTGGGGTCAATGAAAGGTAAGCATGGGCGCGACGACAATGCCAGTTACGATTTAAGAGATGATAAACATCTGTAGTGGTCGAGGGAGATTCAGAGGTGACAGAACCTACACAATACGGGAAAGGACGGACCGAGATCTGTTTCCAATGCTAATCATGAATTCCGTTATTTACTGGATAATTCATGGACTACAGGACTGGGCAAAGCTATCGCGTTATATGGAAAAACTTGGAATGCTGTCAGAGCACAGGTCGTAACAGTTCTAACGTTGCAAGTCTATCACAGAAACAAAGAGAGTGTCGAGGCTACAAAACACCACCCAACAACTGTTGATGGAAGGAAAAAGCAAGGAGACTCGTTCGTTTTCACTCGAGTTATCAATTTGTGCCGAGTGACGACGATACGCCCTCCATTTCTCTTGTTACTCCTGGCGGTTATATATGCGTACCCTCTCTTAATTAGTGTTCAGAGATTCTGGGTTTCGACAATGTAGCCTAGTCTCCGTTTCCTTACAAACAACTCGCGGAAGACCCTAAGATATCTAAGGTCATGAATACCACAAGAAGAACGAGAATGAGTGAGGGACTTCAAGAAAGAGCTAAGGGCAGTGGGAGGTAAGCGCAAGAAGCAAGTACGGAAACAGTTGAAAGATGAGTCCTCATCTGGCGATTCCACCAAAGGGATCAAGCGCGACATCGTGCACTTTCTCACGCGAAGCTGTTGGTTCAGAAACGGAAGATTTAGGACATTTGGTGTACAAGTTCCCGGGTTCCATTATGTACTCGAAGTTCCAAAGCCTCAAACGACATTAGATGTGACCAACTCTTCATACTCATGGTTCATCGCCTCTCAACTCTATTTACAAGGTTATCGTTCGACTAGTGACATAAAGAATGACGTAAAAGATCGCCTATAACAATGAAAATGGGAGAATGCCTATGGATATTCAATGGGAAGCAAAGGGGGAGAAATGGGTATGACGAAATAGGGAAACTAAACGGGGCTATAGCCTGGGGGTGGATCTGCAGCTACAGTATTGTCTCTACGACGAATCTGTTCTCGTAGCTCTTGGATCTCTTCCTGCATCATATTCACTCTATGCTCGTACACCGACGGATTCGTGCTGCTACCTGCGGCTGATGGAGTTGGAGCCTGATATGCAAGCACTGGTTGTTGTTGTACCCCCACTATAGCTGGTGATGAAGATGTTACAGATGTAGCCGGGGCAGTAGAGGTCATGGTAGGGGAAGCTGCTGCTGCTGCTGCTGATGCACCGGTGGAAGGACCTTTGCCTTCTCCTTCTCCAAAGGCGTTGACCGCTGTGGCTGCTGCTTCTGCTTCCTTTTTCTTCTGCTTCATTTTCATTCGATGACAGCTAGTGATCAAGGAGATCATGAAAACAATGACGCCGAGAACGATGCCCACAATGGAACTTGTTGAAAGGCTCGTCGGATGGGAGGACGTCGAAAAGCCTGAACTTGAACTGCCGGTTGCAGCACCTCCGTATGCGGAATATTTGTAGGTTGATGTGCTGTACATTGTTGACCGTGATGTGAATGTTGTAGTGACGAACATTGTCGCTACGGCCATAACAGGCAAGGTTCGCGTAGCCAGAGTCGTGTACGGGATAGGGTAGGCAAAAAGAGAGTGTGGCGCCTCTTGAATGTTGTAACACACATGTGCCGACGGCGGTTCTGGCGTTGCCGTCGCGGTCTCAGTGCCGTAGAGAATGGTGGTTGGAGATGGCCCGTGACATTCAACCCAGGTTTCAGGAAATTGATAGTCGAAACTTGTGGGAGTTGGCGAAGGAGCATATGTGTAGAGCTGCTTGTAGCCATAGCTCTCGAAGTACACAGTCTGAACTGTAAACAAGAACGAGTCAGTTGCACGCTGAAGCTTTGACAAACAAATTAGCAACCTGGCACAGTTCCCCCGTAATTGAACTTGCCGTCTGCGCCAGTCTCTCCGACGACATACCCTTCAAAGTACTTCTGATCTGGATCGTTCGTGAAAATCTGGTAGAAAGGTTGTGCGGTCAGCTTGGCTGGATCCCAACGGGTTTCAGTCGCGAAGACAGTCATGACTGCCGGCGTGGCTGTTACCAGCGATGAGGGATAAGAAACCGGGATCGTGTACGTGAAGCTCATCGGGGAATTGTCGAGGGAGAGGCCCTGCACGAGCCTGACTTGGTGCCTGCGATTTAAGAGTTGATATGCATCCTCTCGGCAAAGACAGCGCCCCATCAATTTACGGAGATTCGGAGGTGACAGAAGAGTCAAAGTAAAGAGCTGGATGAGCAGGTGGGTGCAATAAAAACACCCTCAAGAGGTGGCTTATGGCTTGTCGTACACGGAGTGAGCAGGGTACCAGATGAACGACGCCCACATGGGTGATACCAGGGAGTAAAGCATCCAACAAGATAAAGCGTACAGGTCTTTTTTTTTTCGGAAGGCCGTGAAACCAGGATATTGATGATGAAAGTGGAAAGCAGGTTGGAAGTTCCTGAGAAGCGAAGGAACCCACTCGAATCCGCTTTTTCCAACCAGCACCCATTATCTAAAGGTTGCCGGCATAGCACTCCCTCTTACCCAGCACTTTTACCATAACTCTTTGACAATTTCCATCAACCTACTACATATATCCGCAACTGAGGGCAACGGTTGTCTCAATCAGTAGACACTATGGACGCTGGGTACGATCCATCGTACCCAGCGATGACGCCATCACATCGTGACAGAGTTTGTACTTGTTTGTTGAGTGTTACTGAATTAGTCTCACCTATGACTCCAGGAAAAGCAAGTTGCGGGAAATGGGCGGCCCTGGCCTGGATATATAATCTTTTGTTGCAAGTCGCCTGACTCTTGAGTTCTCCTCCCTTCCCTTGGTCCTTTCCATCATAGCGAGCCCCTCTCTGGCCGAAACTCACCCGCAGTTTCACTAGCATAAATGGTCTACAAACTAACCTTGGCTGCTATTCTCACTCTTCTTGGATACACATTCGCTCACATCGCTCCTAACGAGCACTCAGGCATCGCTAAACGATCTCCTGGATCATGGTTTCATCCTAGGGAGCATCCTGCTTATGATTTATTTGGTCGCGCGGATGTTTTCCCTGCAATTGGGACACCAGGTAAGCACTTAGACGCGTCGCTTTTCAGTCTTCTCATCTTCGCAGAATGGAAGGCAGGCTTTCCGCCTCCTCTCATCTCGACTCTTACTGCTGATCAATATACTCCTCTTGGTGACTACGCCCATTCAATTATGAATATCTTTCAACTGAGACCTAGGCTCTAGCCAATCTTAAGCCGGCATGGAAAACTGCACTTGATAACGCTGTGAAAAATGGAAAGATTCCGAATGTTCCTCAGACAACCAATGGAACATATCCTCAAGGTACTAACCCGAACGACCAAAGTGTATGCACCGCGGTAAACAAGGTTTGTCGCGTCCCTGGCGACATTTGGGATGGACCAGATAATACTTTTGCGTCAAGCTTCGATGATGGTGAGTCCCTTCA